CACATAACACACACAACACACACACAACACACACACACACACACACACACACACACACACACACACACACACACACACACACACACACACAAACACAGAAAAAGAGAGTCACTGTCAATAGACATGTCACACGAACACAATTAAACATAAACACAAGCTCACACCTACACAAACTTCCTTCGTCAAGACGACCCTGTGAATGACTGGTGTTAATGTTTTCGAGATAAGAACTACTATAACCTGCCACGCTCTGCCAGATACATTTTTTTTTTAAGTTAAACTAACATGGCAGGGGAGGATTGAAGGAAATTAATGGTACAAAATAATTCACTAAACTACAACAAACTGAATTTCATAACACAAAACCTTCCCTGTTATATGCCAGGCATATACATTGTGTCAATGTACTTGTTTAGCATGGTCTATATTATTTATATCTTACAGCTAAATATAGTGTACGTTTATATTCCATTTACTCTTTCTCTCGTTTCAGTACATTTTTTCCCAATCATAATAAAGACTTACAGCAAATAAGATGTTTTTACAAATGTGTTGCCATCATTTGAAAGAATGATAATTATGACATTCCTGTCCCTAGAAAAAGTCCTGGATCTTTTTTTTTTACTTGTGTAAAACGGGAGCCAAAGCAAAAGTGTATTTTGTGTCAGTTGATATCAATACTAAACTAATTAAAATGTACATGACTGCATGGTTGTTAGTCTGTAACCAAATAACCAATACTGTATGTAAGTATTGTTGACGTGTCCTACATGCTTTTATGTCAGATTACTGAACGGATAGAAGAGGCAGAATTTGTTCGTGTTGATCTTTCATTCTGCTTCACTCCCACTCATCCTCTCCGGGGACCCGAGTGTGACCATCTAATGACCCCCAGTGAGAGCCCTGAGTCCAGGTAAATAAATGTTATTGTTTGATTACTTTCAGAAGTTGAATAATACAGATTACTTGATACTATGTGTATCTATTTTCATTGAACATCTAAATGTTACATACAAAGAAACACATATTAGGCTACATATTTTCGACAGTATTGTTGCTAACCATGGCTGCACATCAGTTCAGGTTCTACATAGTGCATTAGCATGTCGAAAATCAAAAGTGATACTGAATGCTGAGCTTTGATGACTGAGTTGCTGGACACATGATACATTTGTTCCTGCTCATCAGACAACTAAGCCCCTGTTCATAATTTCACCAGCCTGTTGACTTGTTTATGTGTTCTCTCACTACACACACATTTTTCAGATTTCCCCAGCAACTCTTTTAAGTATCTGTGTCATATTTCGCAGCAGTGAACTTAAGCAGCGTGCACTGTACCAGAATCTTCCTGATGCTAAGGCCTGCCTCTTTTTCAGACGTTAAGGATTTGTCATTCATTTACTTTTAGTAAAGATTCATTTTCAAAGCAAGTTCAATCAGATTTATAACACATTCAATGGAGCCCTTTCTAAGAGAGCAGTGGAGGCAAACCTGCTGTACGGCTCACGTCCTTCTCTGGGCTGGATTTGCATGACTTTTGCATGAGGCGCACCCGCAGCAGCTAGTTATGGCTTTCTAACACACCACTGACCGAGGGCCTTACGGTTCTCCCACACTGCTGCTGGGATATAGGTGGTGTCAGAGCACTGTTGGAGGCATGGATGCTGTGCGGTGCCAGGTCAAAACCCCCTGCTCCGTCAACTTTCCCCAAAGACATGCAGTTAAACACTGTATCATATAGCACTGAAAGAACAAAAATGGGGCTCAAGCTTTAAGCCATTTCTCAACCAACATCAGACCTTCTGTAGTCAGTGAACCAGGAAGTGATGTGTGTGACAAAAATGAAAAACTTTTACGAGCATCCGAAGCTTTAGATTATTACCATCTCCATAAAGGCTCCCATAATGTTCAAACATCACTTTCATGACACTATTTGTAAAGGGCAGTTGCGTTACTCACACTGTCCATCAGCTGTACTGATAATTGATACCTGGACATCACATTCATATTTCCCCCTAACAATTGTCCTTTACTATCTTTTTTCCTAATAAAAAAAAAAGGTTAGAGTAAATGCCAATATTAGGAGAGAAAACGCCCACACTGATCCACTCCACCAAGGAGCAAATACTCCGACGGTTTCTATAGAAATGTAAGCTCTAATCGAGCTATCATCCAAAAACACAATATCATTTTTAAATTGTCAAATCTTGCTTTGCGTGTGACTGTTTTCAGTATTTCGTAGGCAGATGGGTTTTAAATGATTCCGGTAGACTCGACGAATCAAGGTTGAAAACTCTCCACAGTGCGTAAAATCAATGAATGGCACGGCTATGGCTCGCAGCTGCTCGGTGGGAAACCGGAGCGCACTGCACCCCATCCGGAGCGCACTGCACCCCATCCGGATACCAGAAAGAGCAATGAGGAGAAAGGAAATGTAGAGACAAGTTAGATATAAAAGTTGTGCCTCCCCATTAGATCCTTGATGGCAGTCACAAATATTCAAGCCATCAAGAGCCTCAACATATAGAGAATAAATGCCCCGTATATAAAGTGGCTGTTTATTCCTGCATTATATTATCATTTACATTCAGTTTAATGGACAAGCTGTTGGGTGCTGCTCCGCCTGTCATGATAATTGCATGTCCAGGAGTGATCAGGAAATACTCCATCAGATGATCATTTTTTAGAACTTTGAAATATTATTGACTGACATGTTGGCCGGAAATGTGGCACAGTAGAGATGAGGATGGAGTTTCCCTTTTTAGGAGCACATTTTCCGGTCTATTATTTACCCCAGAATTGTACTAAATTTGGGTTAAGGGCCAGCTAGTTTGTGTGAGAGGTATTATAGACAATCCGAGGCATTGTTAACCCCTCCAGGTGTGATACCTGCTCAGAGTTCCTCACCTAACAGCAGCAGCTTCAGCTCCCTCCGAGAGTCCTTCTTGTCTCTGCGTAGCTGCTTCTCGATCTCCTCGTTGATCCTCTGGTTCTCTTTGTCCTCCCCAGACACACAGCATCCAGCCATCGTTCACACTGACCTGCTGCCTCTCCAATAAGCCCTCTGCAGTCGACGTGAAAATCCTTAAGGCTGTGGAGGTGTCTTCTCCCTTTGGCTTCACAAGATCAGTGGGAAAACACCCAGAGCATCTTTAAAATGTCCCTTTATGAATTACAAAAAATGATGCTATAGAGTTTTTTCTATAATTTGAAGAATCCGCGTTTATTAACAAATAATCCTTCTTAAAATAAAACGTCCAGATATAAGAATACAACGCGCTGACCCTCGTTGGAAAGGTGCTGCGGTTGGTCTAAAGAAGGAGGACACTTGTTGAACTTTATCCAGCCTGCTCAGAAGGGCGTGGCTGGCTGCAAATAGAAAGGGATAAAATGGGAAGTTAACATCCAGAGCAGGCACACTGATTACTGTACCGCACAGAGATGACGCTGACATGATATTCAAACTTTGGTGGACTTTTGGGTAGAGGTACGGGGTACGATTAGATCAAAGAAAGCTGCAAAATAAATAAAATAAAAAAGCCAAGAAAACGAACTAATGACATACAGCAAAACTAGTGCTGATGACATGTTTTCCAGCTTTAAATAGATTTGTTTGTAAATTAATTGGCCTATTTGTATGAAAAGGGGACGGGTTAAGGACCTGAAACACGCTACGGGGAACGGGGAAGTGAAGTATCCTGCTTCAGTGCATCCTGGACGGCCACCAGGGGTCAGGAAAACCAACTGTTAGTGCATGAATGAATGAGTGTTTGAGTCATAACCAAAATAAATGTATCCCGATTCCTTACACATCTCAGTGACCACATGTCTATTGCCTCAGAAATAGGGAGGCCCAACACTTCTGGCGATCTATGGGAATTTTTTATTCATCAATGCCAGACTTTTACATGATGTTATTTGCTTTTTAAAAAAAAAGCCAAATGGCATTGTTGCTCTTGAAATATACCAAACTGTTTTTAAATATGATTGAGCTGAGCTGTTACCGGCCTCTGAAAATCAATTTAGAATGGTTCTTTTTAATGGTCACATTCAAAGTCAGCCATCTTCAACCTTCAGACAATATTTTCCTTTCGTAACTTTGGGTGTAACAAATGATTCCAAAGTAACCTTTGTTCAGTGTACCTATAGAAGGAAACAAGTACACTTTTAAAGGGCTTGATTTATGAAAGACTTTGCAGGAATTCTTAATTTCTACATAATTCCCAGTAAAAAAAAATGTTATCATGTATTTACATTTAAATGTTTGCATTTGTATTGAACTGAGTAGCATTATAACAAAGAAACCTTAAAGCCCATGTCAGTATGTCATTGGGCTTACATTGAAAGATTAACATCAACACATTTAGAGCAGGGGTATGCTGCAGGATTTCAGCCCCGTGTAGTGAGTTTTTCTGGGTAAATGAGTGCATTTTCGACTTCAGATCAATTTGCTGGGAGAAATGTTTCAAAACATGGAAACCTCGTCTGAAAATGCTGATTCATGTTGTGTTATCCAATAATACACACGAGTTCAACTGTATATTTTATGTGAGTCTTTATTTGTTTGGGCAAGTTGAAAATATCACAGAGCTACCATGCTAGCATTACCTGTCGTACCTGGATGACGACACTGCACCGCGCCCATAGGGCTTCATACTATTGGCTATTTCAGAGTAACACAATTACACCGTAACCCTTTTTGGAATCAATGGGTAGACTGCCATTGATTCAACAGACCTTTTAGGATTATTCTGCCTCTATAGCTGGAAGGTCTGTTCGATCTGAACAATCTGAAATATATATAAGTTATTACACGGCTTAGTTGTATACTCGATTCTGATTGGTCAATTCAGAACATGTGAGAGGTTGTTAATACAGTAGTACAGACACTGTCAAGGACTGTAAGGACCGTTGCTAAGGAGGATCAAGGGAGATAACTCTATGAAATAATTATATTAATATTGGGAGTCAAGTCGTTAGTTTCTTAGTATCTGGCCGTGTAATTCGCGTCGGGCTCCGTGATCGCCCTGTCGGTGTTTTTTTTCCCCATAATGACTGCCGTGCTGCACATTATTCCTTTACTCAACACCACATCTCCCCTTTTTAGAATCAATGGGTAGACTGCCATTGATTCAAAAGACCTTAGAGGATTATTCTGCCTCTATAGCTGGAAGGTCTGTTCCTATCTGAACCTGAGATAATACAAAAACATTTGACCTTTATGAGCCATTATGTAACCTTATATTTTTGTGTTAATACACCATGCTAATGGCTCACATGGAACTGTAAACGATTTTCCTTCTAATGAATAACACTTTGTTCTACTAATAAACTCTCTAAATCGTCACTTAAATTGTAAAAAACAACGTAGTCTTTCCTGCAGTACTCTGCTCTTGAACCCATCTTCTGATGAGGAGTCCATGGGGGTGAGATGACTGCGAGGTGGTCTGATTTCCCATTGGTCCCTCTACGATGCAGAGCTACAGCTTCACTGTTGGGAAGAGCAGGATCCAGCAAGGTCGGTAATGTTGGCACCATCGTGCAAAGCCTTCTCCCCATGAGAAGTTGAGCTGGACTGTACCCGTTCTGTAGTTGGGTGGCTCTACATAACCTGTATACATGTTTTTTGCATTTATCCCTGACGTAACACCGCATCTCCCCTTTTTAGAATCAATGGGTAGACTGCCATTGATTCAACAGACCTTAGAGGATTATTCTGCCTCTATAGCTGGAAGGTCTGTTCCTATCTGAACCTTATTATATATGTATATAGTTATTACACGGCTTAGTTGTATACTCGATTCTGATTGGTCAATTCAGAAAATGTGACAGGTTGTTAATACAGTTGTACAGACCGCTATCAAGGACTGTAAGGACCGTTGCTAAGGAGGTTCAAGGGAGAGAAAGGAGAAGAGGTTAAAAGACGGAGCACTGGACGTTAGTTAAATGAACAGAAGAAGGCAGACAGGAAGTCAACACTAACAGGAACACGGTAGGGCTCTGGAGTGTTTAAGGACTTGTTCGTGGATCAGAAACTGTGAACAGACTTGGACAGGACTGCCGTAAAGTTGTTGTTGTTGTTGTCGCAGTTCCAGCCGTTGGTGCGCCATGGAACAGAGTTCTTTTTTTCTTAGCGGAAGAAATAAGATCGTTACCGTGCTCCAAACATTATTCCTTTTACTCAAAAACAACCACATCGTCCCCTTTTTAGAATTCAATGCGCGTTTAGACTTGCCATTGTTTCAAAAAAGACCTTAAAAGAGCGATTATTCTGCCTCTATAGCTGGGAAGGTCTGTTCCTATTCTGAACGCTTATTATATAATGTATTATAGGTTATTACACGGGGCCTTTTTAGTTTTATACTTCGATTCTGATTGGTCCAATTTCAAAACATGTGCCAGGTTGTTAATAAAGTATTACAGGACTGGGCTGTTCAAGGGACTGCAATGGCCTTTTGCTAAGGGAAGGAGGCGTTCAAGGCTCGTTTTGCCACCAATTATCCCTTACTCCATCTTCCCCTTTTTAGAATCAATGGATAGGCAACTGCCATTGGATTCAACAAGACCTTTAGGGGGATTATTTTTCTGTCTCTAATAGCTGGAAGGTCTGTTCCTATTTCTGAAACCTTATTATATATATACAATATAGTATATATATATATTATATAAAGCTTATTACCACGGCTTAAGCTTGTAATTAGCTGGAAGGCCGTCTGGTTCCTTATTTCTTGACCTGCAGATAAATCAAATAAACATTTGAACTTTATGAGGCCATTATGTTAAAACTCCTTAGCGATATTTTCGGGTTGTTAATAACACCAGGCTAATAGCCACATGGAACTGTAAACGCAATTTTCCTTCTAATGAACAACACTTTGTTCTACTAATAAATTCTCTAAATTGTCACTTAAATTGTATAAGACAACCTAGTCTTTCCTGCAGTACTCTGCTCTTGAACCCATCTTCTGATGAGGAGTCCATGGGGGTGAGATGACGGCGAGGTGGTCTGATTTCCCATTGGTCCCTCTACGATGCAGAGCTACAGCTTCACTGTTGGGAAGAGCAGGATCCAGCAAGGTCGGTAATGTTGGCACCATCGTGCAAAGCCTTCTCCCCATGAGAAGTTGAGCTGGACTGTACCCGTTCTGTAGTTGGGTGGCTCTACATAACCCGTATATATATTTTTTGCATTTTTCCCTGACGTAACACCGCATCTCCCCTTTTTAGAATCAATGGGTAGACTGCCATTGATTCAACAAACCTTAGAGGATTATTCTGCCTCTCTAGCTGGAAGGTCTGTTCCTATCTAAGAGCAGGATCCAGCCAGGTCGGTAATGTTGGCACCATCGTGCGAAGCCTTCTCCCCATGAGAAGTTGAGCTGGACTGTACCCGTTCTGTAGTTGGGTACATAACCTGTATATCTTTTTGCATTTATTTTAATAATTATTTATTTGATGTGGGGAAACCGGAACATCTGGAGGAAATCCATACTTCGGGGCAGGGAGAACATGAATGTTTGTGGACACATTTTTGCGACTTATTTATATAGAGCAAGTCAAAGAGGAGCTTCTTTCTTAAAAACGTCTGATAAGGGAAACAACTCCCCTTTTCACTCGCTGAAAACATTCGAGGTTCTTTGTTAAACAACATGCCCACGTTGTGTCGTCATCGCCCTGATCAGTAGGTGTGATTGCAGCTGCAGCACCATTGTTGTGTGTTGTGTCAATATTGGACCTCTCTTGGTTAGAAGTATCAGCAATGGAAGACCTGGGTTGCTCTTTCTGTAAGCTTTTCCTGCAAGATGTAGTCGGGGGATCTAGACAGAAACCCTTTGGCCGTGCGTCTGCCTTACTGGCATTTTCAGTTTTGGAGACTACGTCACTCGCATCAGTTGACTTCATGTCAGTTTCATTGTTATTGAGAGGAACATCTGATGCCTCTGAACGATCCAGGGTGCAAATATTCATCAACCTACTAGCTTCTTTTAAAAAAGAGCTGCAGCCCAGGTCCTCTGACTTCTCTAGATTTGAATTGTCGGCAATCAAAGTCTTGGGTGTGATTAGAGGATCTTGACAGAAAACATTTGGCTGTGTGTCTGCATTACTGGAGCTTTCAGTTTCTGAGACTTCTTCAATCGCGCCAGTTGACTTCATGAAATGATTGACAGGAACATCTGATGCACCAGAATGGTTCTGGGTGCAGATGCTCATCATCGAAACAGTTTCTGGTAAATAAGAGCT